AGCGGCTGAGGGAACTGGGGTTGTTTAGCCTGGAGAAAAGGAGGCTGAGGGGAGACCTCATCGCGCTCTACAACCACCTGGAAGGAGGTTGTAGCAAGGTGGGTGTTGGTCTCTTCTCCCAAGTAACAAGCAACAGAACAAGAGGAAACAGCCTCAAGTTGTGCCAGGGGAGGTTTAGATTGGCTCTTAGGAAAAGTTTCTTCACCAAAAGGGTTGTCAAGCATTGTAAGGTCTTTTCCAGCCTAGATGATTCTGATTCTATGTGTTGGCACACCCCATGCCGTGAGACTGCGGACCCCAGTGGTTTCCATTGGGTCCTTACGTGCCACCACCATAGGGGACATCGCTGCTCTTCAGCTCTTGTTGCTGCAATTCTGATGGGTGTGCACGCGGATGGGATGTTCCTCCTGACCCTAAATCCTCCTCAATGCTGGGACACGTCCCTTGCTTGGTGGCCAATTCTGAACTGCTCCTACTTTGCTGTGGGGCTCGGGGCTCCTCTGGGATAAGAAGATCAGGTATGGCTGGGGGAGAGGGAGGGGAAAGGCCACGTTTCCAGCAAGGTGAGAGTTAAAATAAAGGTAGGACTTCTTCTCCATGGAGGAGAAAAAATAATGGCTCCCACAAGCAGGGAGTGAACCTGCAAGCCAGGAGGATCTTGGCAGCCTCTGGGGAAGGAATAAGGATTTTGGAGGGCTCAGGCCAACTCTTAACATGTCCCGTATCTGATGAGTAAAATGGTTTTTCAGGGATTTTAGGCCTGAAATGGTCTGTACAGCTCCCCATTCGTGGCAGATCCTGTGTCCTCTCTCCCACCAGGGCTGGTGGCAAGCCCTGGCTCTGCTGAGCCTCCATCACCAGGACCCCCAGGTGCCTGAGCCTGTATCACCAGCACCCCCAGGTGCCTAAGCCTCCATCACCGGGACCCCAATATGCTCCAGGAGTCTCAGAGTCCCAGCACTGCAAGATCCCCTCCTGATCCAAATCCTCAAAGTGTGGGGCTGGGAAGGAAGTCCCTGTGCACCCCCCGCGCCCCCGGTCCCACCTCACACCCCTGCCTCCCCCAAATCCCTGCACAAAGTATCTGCCCGCGTAGCGCCAGCAGGTCTTTGCCCATCCAGCACCCATCAAAGGGACAAATCAGGGGCTGTGACACCAAATCCTGTCCCCCATTGCCTTTCCCCCTCTCTCTGGCTGTGTTTCTTTCCCCCCACTGCAGTCCCCAGCCCCTTTTTTCCCATATATTTGAGGCAGGACAAAACTCATAACAGCAGTGACTCCGGTCCCGGTCACTCATGGGGTTTCAGTCCCAGATCAGTGTCACAGTGGGGACAGCCAGGAGGTAAAACCACAGCAGCCGCTTTCCTTATCTTTAACCCTTTTTTGTCAAACAACCACATTTCTACACAGACAACCTCATCGCCGTCCCGGGATGCCCCCCAGCCAGCAGCAGGGCCTGGGGC